TGGAGGACACCACAAGGCTGTGTGGCATTGCGCAGCTGGTATCCTGCCGTGAGTGGCTGCACTGGTGTATGTGTATGCAGTGTATGCAGTGCCACCGCCAGCACACAACGCCAGAACAAGCCTTGCAAGATCCTGGGATATGCTGAAGGGTCAGAATGGAGCCTTCCCTATGAAAGCCAGGAAAATTGGAAGGACAAACACCCCCCACACACACACCATCCCTCCCCCAGTCTGCATTGAGTTTGAGGGATGGACAGACAGGAAAACTCCCCATCCTCCCACCATTCGTAAAAAAAGTTCCATTCCAAGCCGTCAGTGTATCCCAGGATTGCAACGCTGAAGGTTTGGAATGGAGCCTTCCTCGTAAAAGGTAGGGAAAAGGAATCCCCAACCACCATCCTTCCCCCAGTCCACATCGAGCTTGAGAAATGGACAGACAGGAAAACTCTCCTTTATCTTCCTGCCATTGGTGAAAAAGGCTCCACTCAGTACCCTCAGCACTGCAATCCTGGGATACACTGAAGGCTTGGAATGCCTCTGTTTCAGGGCAGAATGACTTTCGGCCATCTCTTTCTGGACTATGGAGCTGCCATCTTCGGGATTTGGGCCACCTCCCGAAGCTGGCAGCTCTGCAGCCAGCTGCCCCGCTCTTTCTCATGAAAGGACCAGCACAGGTGGAGGCAGAGGCATGCTGGAGGTAGAGGTGATCCTAACACACTTGCCCCTTCATCCCATTGTCTTCTGGCTTGCCTGCAGCTGCACCGAACAAGCACCAGCATGGGGTGTCTGGATTGCCTTCCTCCTCTATGAGACCAATCCAGCAAAGGGAACTCCGACGTCCAACAAGCCTGGCGACCACTTCTGCAAGAGCGACAGCAAAGGGGAATATGACCCGATGGTAAGTGGCACCATCATTCCAATGACTGCCAGGGTGGAGATACTGGTGTCCTACTCGGGAGTAAAAGTCACCATCTTGACCCTATTAGATTCAGGGTGCACCCGGTGCCTGATCAGCTTGCCGACAGTGGAGAAATTGGTACTACTGTGTTTCTCAAAAAACACGACCCATCCCAATAAGCCCAACCCTAATTTTGTGGGGCTGGGCCTAAAACCTCTACCTCAAAAATAAGCCTGGGAGGGTGGGCGTAGCCAGCACAAATGGTGGCGCAGGGGGTTGGGGACAACTGTCGGGCTGCACTTGCAGCCCTCTGGCCCCTTTTTTCCCCTTTCTGGGGCAAAAAATACCTCTTTTGCCACTTTCTGGGCACAGCGCTTCTGCTTGTTGGGCTGCTTCCAAGGCTCCGTGGCCAGCTGGTTTGCTTTTTCCCTCTTTTTGGGAGGCTTGTGCGGTAGCACCAGGCAGAGGCAATCATTGTCACCTTGAACATCTTGAGTACTGGGAAGGAATACAAGAACAGGACAACTGCTCTGATAAGAAGCTGTTAAAGCTTCCAACATCTGGTTGAAGTCCTCAGGGTGAACAATGTTCTGCATGATCAAATTTGGGGAAGAAGCAAACTGGTGGATTGAGTGAGAAGCTGAGGAAGAAGATGGAGAACTGGTGGTAATTGTTCAGGTATTCTTAAAGATTCAGACTTCAGTATAGGAACACTCCAGCAGGAAATTTGAATAACTAAGAAAATACGAGAAGCAAGGAAATTCAAATGCAAGGAAATTCCTGACCACATGCCACAGCCCTTCGATAGTACAGCTGCGGAAGAGATTTGTCAGAATGGAGATGCAGGGAGCAGCATCAATGAAATCATCCGTCCTGGGAACAGGGCTTGGGACTAGCCAAGCGTTGGCATCCTTGTCCCCATCACCACCACAATTATGAATTTTCTTTCCTGTTATTTGCAGGAAAATCAATACCCTGGACTAGATCAACCAGTACTTCTGTTTCAGCCTGGAGACTGGGTGCTTGTAAAGCTGTGGGGAGCAACAACCTCCTTGGGTCAAAAGTGGAAGGGTGCTTTCAAGTGCTTTCGACTACTCATACTAAAAGTGGAAGGCCTGGCACCTTGGATAGATCACTTCCAGAGTGAAGAAATACCCACAATCTGCTATTCCAGACCAGTCCTTGGTTGTTTCCAGGGTGGTCCCATGGGCCAAATCTAAGCACCTTGCGGTCTGGATCTGGCCCCCAGGCCTTGAGTTTGACACTCCTGGCATATGACCTATGTAACTGTGCTCCTCCCATCCATCTATATTATACCCACTTTATCTGAAAGGCAGTTTAATTACCTTGTTCAGTGGACTCAAGTCTCTCAATAACGTTATGTATGTACAAGCAGTGAGGGAAATCTAGCTAATGAGACTGGGGAGTTTTTTTTATTGCTGCAGCAAAAGGTGGTGGTATATGGCAAATGACAGTTC